TCGAAATACAAGGGTAATGAGTCCATTTAAGTGCTAAATAAATGTAAAAGAGTGAATATTAGGGGATAAAAATAGGGTACTTTTTAGTCTCATCACTACTACAGTTTTCTTCTTACTTCTCCAAGTGACTCGAGTCCCACCTACAAGGGTGCAATATCCTAATGTTGTTATCCTATCTCCAAGGGAACTAGCCTAGTCAGCATCAGTGTAAGCCTCCACATCAATTTTATCATGCTTCTTTAACAATAGTCCCTTTCTAGGACAGGTCTTGAGGTATCTCAATATCCTTTCCACTGCCTTCATATGTGAGACTCAAGGAGAATGCATGAATTGATTAACAACATAAATTAAATAGGCAATGTCAAGTCTGGTGAGGAATAAATAAAGTAGTTTTCCAACAATTCTCTGGTATCCCTCTCTATCAGGACATAACTCTCCATCACCTTCTTGTAGGCCATGATTCCGCTCAATAGGAGTGTCTGCAGGTCTTGCTCCTAGCTTTCCTATCTCCTTTGACAGAGATAGATTCCGTCATTAGATCTAGCAACTTAAATTCATAGAAAATACATCAAAGATCCAATATGTTTGATATTAAATCCTATGGCTAGGAAGCATTTCAACTTTTGAATCTCCCTTGGGTCATTTCTGGTGACCACCATTATCATCAACTTACATAATCAATGTTGTTAGGTTTTCTCCATTTATTCTATAGAACAATGTGTAATTAACACTGCTATGTTGGTATCCAACTATCTTCATTGCTTTGCATAATATCTCGAACCAAGACCATGGGGATTGCTTAAGTCCATAAAGGTTCCTCTTTAGTTTGCACACTTTTCCTCCCATGTCATACCTTGGAGGAAGATCCATGTAAACTTCCTCTTGTAAGTTTCCATTCAAGAAGGCATTCTTGATATCCAATTGATGCAATTCACAAGAGAGATTAGCTGCTAGACAGAGTAACACCCGTATGGTATTTAATTCAGCAACTAGAGCAAAGGTTTCCTTATAGTCAATGCCCTCCTTTTAGGTGAATCCTTTTGCAACTAGCCTAGCCTCATACCTCTAAGTGGAGCCATCGACCTTGTGTTTAACATTATAGATCCACTTGCACCCCACAATGCTCTTCCTCTCTGGTAGATCCACTAACTCCCAAGTATTTGCCCTCAATAAGGATTTCATTTTCTCATTCATAGTTTCCCTCCATTTGGGATTGCAAACAGTCCTAGAGTACTTGGAAGGAGTGGGAACAGAAGACAAAACAGAAATAAAAAAGTGATAGCCATGAGACAAATGAGAGTAAGAAACAAATCTATTTGTAGGATGAAGGGTGCATTATTGGACATTCGTCAAGGCAAATAGCCAAATCAGAATAATAGCAAGTAGAATCAGTCTGAGGAATAATACCTTGATCAACATTAGTAGCACCCAATTGGTTGTGGTGTTCAGCGAGCCTATYCCTCTTTCTCTTTTTGCGATAAARAATTAGCTCTCTCTCATCATTAATATTAGGGGCAATAGCTTTCGTGCTAAGAGTAGTATCAGTTGGTGTCACATCAACAAGATTCTCTTTTCGATAAGAGGACTCAATAGAAGGGGAAGCTTTAGAGGAAGTCTCTTCCACCCCGCAAGTCTCTCMCTRAAGAGATTTCRAGAGGGTTTAAAAAGGATTGGGACTCACAAAAGGTGACATTTTTGGTGATCAACTTTCTTCCGAAAAATAGGATAAAGACACTTATACCCCTTTTGTGTGGGTGAGTCACCTAAAAAACACACTACGGATAGCTTTAGCATCCAACTTTGTTCTTTTTGGGATCCTTAAGATGTATAAAATACACAACCAAAGATCTTTGGATGCAAAGAAAACAAAGGTTGATCTAGATGGAGAATAGAGAAAGGGGTTTTCATGCCCAATACCTTGGATGGCATTTTGTTGATTAAGTAGGATGTTGTGAGCACTACATGGGACCATAAACTCTTTGGAACCTTATTCTAAAACAGTAAAGCATGACTAGTTTCCATTAAATGTCTATTCTTTCTCTCAGCAACTTTGTTCTATTGTGGAGTGTAGAACAAGATGACTAATGTAAAGTCCCTTCATCCTCAAAGAACAGATTTAGGGAATTCTTGGAACTTCAGCGGCATTGCTTGATTGGAACTGTTTCTCCTTCCCAAACTGAGTTTCAATCATCTTGCAAAATACCATAGTAATTCTAGGTACTTCTTCTTGCTCTTTCATAAAATAAATCCAAGTGCACCTTATGAAATTATCAATAAAACTAGTAAAGTAACGATAGCCATCCACATAAGTAATGAGTAAAGGACCCACAGATCAAAGTGAGTTAAATCAAAATGATCTTTTACTTCATTACTAGAACTTGGAGAGTTTTCTTTAGAATGCTTGGACAACTGAAAAACATCACAAAAAAGACTCTCAAGAGTTACTATTCAAAAAGATTTGGGAACAAGACTCTTAACAAAGAGAAGGATGACCCAATCTGGCATGCCATAGATAAATAGTGGCACTAGGCTCATTTGTGACATTGTGATTGCTAGTTGATCCTAAAAAACACAATGAGAAGGAAAGAGAGTTACAATACAATCATACAATCCAAGGTTTTGGTTATTTTAGAAACTAAAAGTATGTGGGCAGTAAAATTAGGCACATGTAAGGTAGAGTTAAGAGACAAATCCTTCCCAAGTTGAATGTCTCCCTTCCATAATGGTAGAGATAGTGCCATTGACTATTTTCACTTTATCTTGGCTAGAATCAAGATGGTATGATGAAAAAAGAGGGGTCGTTGATCATGTTCTTAGAAGCTCTTGAGTCAAAAACCCATGAGTTGGAGGAACAAGACTGTATAGCACTCAGGGCAGACAAAATACTTGCCTTGGCAAAAGATGAGGAAGCAACATAAGATTGTTTTAGTTGGGCCATAGCTTGATTAAGGTTGTCTACCTCTTTAGTTGTTAAGTCAGGGAAGCTATTGGGAGCATTGGTGGTCTGTTCCATATGAGGAGAAGCACAAGAAGTAGCAAATTTATTCACACCATTAACCATATTGGAACTTGC